TAGCCTTCTTCGCCTGCGATTCGAGAATAGCGCCATGTACTAGGAGTTTGTCGACAACCATCAATCCCTCTCTTCTCTTCTCTTCTCCTCCCCCTCCTCCCTCGTCGACCCTCTCCTCTTATCCCCTTTCTCGATCCCTTCCTCTTTCTCCTCGAGGAGCCAACCCGGCCCGACTCACTACGAACCAACGAGAAACCCGCCGGGCGGCACAGCATAATCTGAGGGAACGACTACTGGATCTCGCGCAAGAGTCCCCGTTGCTGAGCCAGAGGACCTCGTCACTCATTTTTCGTCGTTTCGAATTCTACTTCCGATTTCTTTTATTCCCTTTTCATTCGACTTTGCGCTCTTTATTTGCGTCGTTCGACTGCTTCTAGGAATCACGGATACAGTCGTTGCAGACCATCCAGGATCCAGCAGCGCTGTCCTCTCACACACACACGAAGCCAACCACCATAACAACCTCACAAAACCACATGCAACTTCACCTCTAATTCACCTGTCGACGCGATTTTCTCTTTTTTTCACCGGCCGGTTATCTTTTTCTCACCACTAGTCTTTCGCATAATAATTCTTCCATTCGTATAATCGGTCGAAATCCCATAATCTAATTGTTGTGTTACTGGTTGTTGCCGACTCGAAACACATCCCGCGATCGTCTACCAGCCTGCCGCCCGCCCTCGTCTGCTTGCGACACCAACCTCCCCCCAACCAAACAATCGTCACAAGCAAACACGAAGAGGACAAAAAACAACAACAGCAACAACAACCGAACAACTTGGGGGCCCGCCAAAGGAAACTCCAACCCATTGTGTTTCCTTTCTCCTTCCTTCCCTCCCATCACAATTCAATTTTCCTTTCTTCCCCCGAGTTGGAACAAGACAATGCCGTCTGCTGCTGCTCGGAGGTTCTTCGAGGATCAGATACCCTCTTTTATGTCAGTGTTTGATTTGGACGCAGAAACAATGGCAGACCGCGATACCGTCACGGTCGTCGACCCCAAATTCATCGCTGTCGAGCCCTCGTGTGCTACTTTACCCAAGCCACCGCTTTCGGGTCAAGAACCAGCCCTTCGACCAGCCGCCATCCCCTCGGATCCCATTCACAAACACCACGACAGCACATCCACACAGGCTTCAGAATCGGCAGACTCGTCGCCTACCACCACCCTTTCCACGGCGGATTCCTCGCCCCTCTCAGACCCTTCTCCTTCTTCGTCCCCAGACTCTCCCGTCAACCTAATTCCCCTCTCATCCTTCCCAGGCCCTAGCTTTGGCGGCCTTCCGTCTACGCTATCATCTCTTACCGTTACCGACTTCAATAATACTGAGCGCCCCATGACCTCGCCCTCGCCGAGACGCGCGCGTAACATGAAGGGCCTCTCGATCCAGCCCCCCTCCATTTCCTCTTCTCTTCTCTCCGAACCTGCCTCGCCTTCAACGACGTTCATAAAGCCCAAGATTCCGCCCATGAAGAAGCGGCCTAGTCAGCTCAGCCTCAGGACGAACACGTCGGATCTAGCCATGCGCAACACCACTCTCGAGGTACCTAGCTCGCCAGCGATGCCGCCTATCCTGCAAAGGAGAGCTCTGAAGCACTCGGCTTCAACCCCCCATATGCTGGCCGGATTGAAGTCGTCGACTTTCGGACCCCCTGGCGGCATGACCTTCCCCAAGGTTCTGGAGCGCAATGAGACGGGGTTGTCCGAGGTTCTAAGGCCCAGCAAGTTGAACATTTGCGGTCCTCTCGACGCCACTATTGCCGAGGAGGGCTCGCCCATCAGGACGCAGATCGCCAACCGCGGCGTGATTGATTTGGTGCATTTGAAGGACGAAAGCGAGAACAACGAGGACCAGAAGTCCCCGGGTTATCCTAACGGCCCTATTGCCATTTACGACGATAATGTCTATCTCTACTTGGAGCCGACCGCCGAGGAGGCTTCCAAGTTCGATCTTGTAATTAATGTCGCGCGTGAGGTAAATAACCCCTTCACAGTGACGAAGACGACGACGTATGGCGCAGCTGGGTTGGCGAAGGAGGATGAGGACGTCAAGATGGAGATGCTGCTTCCTGCTGAGGCCAAACCGGCGGATGACAGCCCATACCCTGACACGGCCCTTACCGACGCCAGCTTCAAGACTGCCTTCGAGTTTCCTCCCCCTTGTGCAGATGAGAACATGGGCGACATCACCCCCACCACGCCCAAGGCGATAACCACGCTTCTCCCGCCACCCCAGCCCCAGCAACCGGAGTACATCCACATGCCTTGGGATCACAACACGGATATCTCGGTAGATCTGATGTCTTTGTGCGAACGCATCGAGAAGACGACCAAGGAGGGCAAGAAGGTGCTCGTGCACTGCCAGCAAGGCGCTAGCCGATCGGCCAGCCTCATTATTGCCTACGGCATTTACAAGAACCCTGAACTCAGCGTCAACGACGCCTACTACGCGGCGCAATCCAAGAGCCGCTGGATTAGCCCCAACATGAGGCTCATGTACTGCCTCCAAGATTTCCACAAGGAGATGACGTCGAAGAAGAGGCTTAGCCCCGGATCGGCTCTCCGACAACGGTCTGGAAGGAGTCCGACGAAGCACAGGTTAACCCTCTCGGCCGACGCGATCGATCTCTCCGCCGCTAGCGCCACCAAGACTCCGCTCACGGCGCCCTTGCCCGGCGAGGACGACGAGGACGACGCTCTCAGCCCCGGCAAGTGTGGTTCGGCGCGTCAGCGAGGTAACTCGACCCCCGGCAGCGGCAACCAGGCCATTTCACCAGGCCCGTCATCGGCGCCTTCGACTTTTTCGTGGAACCAGCCCGAGGACGAGAAGGATCCCGGCAAGCCTGGCCGCTTCAACTTTGATGATGTCATTCTCCCCCACCCACCGGCACCACTGGGACCGCCTCCTGCTCCCCCCAAGATTGAGGAGCCCAGAGTCGTGCAGACGGAGTTCAACCTGAGGCCGCTCGACATTTCGAAGCCGCCCCCTACTCCCGGCTTTGGAGGTTTTGGTGGTTTCGGAGGAGGTTTCGCGCCGCGCAGCTTCGACTCTCACGGCACCTTCGGCTTCTCTGGCCTATCTTTCCAGCGCCCGCTGGATGACCGATGGAAGTTGGAGGAAGAGGAGGGTCAACACCAGCAGCAGCAGGTCCCGCGCCAGCGAGAGATTACCATCTCCGTCCCTTTCATCGACGACACGGCTCTCATGTCTCCGCGTGCCGAAGCGATGACGAACAACCCCCTCCGCGACCCGGTGATGCACTTTGGCTCTTCGCTAGGAGGCATGCGGTTTGTCGAGTCGCCGCCTACGCCCACTGAAGGCCTCTTTAGCCCAAGGCAAACGATGTTCCCACGGGATCCATTCGCACCATTTGGTCGCCCACCTCAGGTGGCGGATCCGCGGAGTCCCCCCACGAAGGGTGAGACACCAATTGTGAGGTCGATTGATGAGATTTTGTAAATGAAAGCAAATCTTTTGGGAGACTTTGTTTTTTTCCTAAGAGCCAAAAGATGATTCATTTAACCCAATTTCACCAATTGGACCTGAACACTTTATTCCTCCTTAAATGGGCAACCATGGAAAGGTTGGCCCTGTGTATGTTACATGCGGTGTGGTTTACAGTCTACGAACGCGATATATCCCCTTGGCATTGCGTTTTACAAAGCAAAGTTTCCTTTGTTAATTTTTTTTTCTCCTTTTCGGATCATGATCAAAGCAAAAAAGGGAAAGGAGGAGGGCCAGTGACCGATATGTCATGGCAAATGCAATGTTCGGAATGGCATTTTCAGGCGTTGTAGGGGGTTTCCATTCCAAAGCCCTCGTTTCTTTTCTTTGTTTTCAAGGGGGGAGTTTTGATGTCCAGTAAGCTCTTACTGAGGGCGCCTTTGGGCTTTTCTGATATTGCGATGAGAAAAAGTAAGGGATGGAGGGATGGGAATGGTATGGAATGGAATGGACATCAGGGGCGAGTAGGGGAGTCTCTGTTTATTGGAGGGGGTTTATAACATACATTCTCTCTCATTCAGGTTCCTCGTTTTCTCGTTTATACAGGTCTGATGATGACTACTTTTTGGTGCCTTCTTGATCCCTTTTCTGTGATGTGATGTGTCTCTTAAGTATTTTAGAACGAGAGCCTTTTGATGGTGGCCTTGTGAGTCCTCGGTGATCCCAGCCCCCTTCGACTTTGATACTCGGAAGAATCGCCCATACCGATTCCCTCGGAAGATCCTGATTCCCCCCTCACACTGCTGAATTTTCCTTGGACGAGGCTGATTTCTTGACGATGACGTCTCTGCCAAGCCAGACCCTTCGAAGATGATCGAGCCTGAGGATTAGGATTACTTCCCATCGATGACCGAGGTCTTCGCAGAACCAAATTCCAGTTATGCAGCTCTATTCCCGAGTACGAGTCGCAATGAGTAGAGCATATTAAACCTAGGGCTGGCGTGGCGCAAGCTTGACGACGGACTCGAAGGAGGTAAGCGTCAACGGCGGCGTTCTGAGTCTGCGTCGGCGAAGTGACTCAGCCCAGTTGAAGATTTGGGGTTCAGAAACATTGGAACTTTTCAGCCGCAAGCGCACTTCGACGCCGCGCCTATAATTCTTTATTTAACCCCACACTGTCGCACTTTGACGACGTCAACATCTATCGAATCTCATCCCACCGCGAAAAGACGACTTGTTTCTTTTAATTTTGCGTATAAGTTTTATGGGAATCGGCGAGAGAAGAGAAAGTTGTTTTTCCGATCCTCCTTGCCTTTTATTTGATATATTCCCGGCTTACCTTGCCCTGGGGAAGCACCAGAGAGAGTTTCGCCACGAAAGAGAGCGTTAAACCGTCACACTCATCCAAGTGATTCCTCAAACGAAGGACCTACGAAAAAAATTCCACATCTACAAAAGAACAGCTTACCGAACGAGGGGAAATACTCTCCGGGTACCCGTTTTATCGTCGAGCCTTTTAAGAGAGAAGGAACCCTAGGAAAGAAAGGCAAAGATATGGCGGATACGACTAAGCTCGAGGAAGGAGCCTACGCTAAGGCTGAGAGGGGCGAGGGTAGGAGTGGTCGCGGACGGGGTCGAGGACGAGGAGGCGGCGGTGGCGGGATGAAGAGGGAGGTGCAAGTGTCCAAGGCGCTTTCGAGGCTCTTGAGGCATCAGGCTGAGAATGCGGGGGTGAAGCTTGATGAGAGTGGGTATGCCGAATTAGACAAGGTGGTGAGTATTCTTATTCTTTCTCTCTTGCTTTTTTTTTTTTTTTTTTTCCATTTCTCTTTCTTCAAGTCTAATCTGAGGGGTTGTGCGTTTCTTTGTAGATGGCCTGGCAACCTCTCCGGTCTCTCCAAGTAACATTCGAAGACATATCCACCGTCGTCCAACAAAACGACAAACAGCGCTTCTCCATGCTCCCCAACGAAACCACCAACCCCTCTCTCGACAGCACATCGACCGACCCCTCCCACTGGCTCATCCGCGCCAACCAAGGCCACAGCATCGCCCTATCCTCCTCCGCCCTCATGCAACCCATCACCCTCGAGTCCCAAAACGTCCCCGAAGTCGTCGTCCACGGCACCTACTTCGCCTTCTGGCCCCTCATCGTCGAATCCGGCGGCCTGAAGCCCATGGGGCGGACGCACGTGCACTTCGCCACGGGGTTACCGGGCCCGGGGGCGGAGGTCGTTTCGGGCATGAGGAGGGATGCCGAGTTGTTGGTTTATGTCGATGTGGAGAGGAGTTTGAGGGATGGCGTGTTGAAGTGGTGGGTTAGTGAGAATGGGGTCGTGTTGACGGAGGGTGGTGACGATGGGTTGGTGCCGTTGAGGTATTTTAGGGAGGTTGTGGGGAGGAGGACGGATGTCGGGGTTTTGGTGAAGGATGGGGAGGTTTTGGGGGGGTTGCCTGAGGGGGTTAAGGGGGTTGTGCCGCCGGGGAAGGGGAGGGGGAGGAGGGGTGGCGGTGGTGGTGGACGGGGAGGGAGTCGGGCGTAGAGAGGTTTCGGTGGGAAAGAGAGTGTGTGTGTGTGTGAGAGAGTGAGGAATTCACAGAAGAGAGCACGAGCAATACGGCATTGAAGAGCGAAATATAGATTCACCCAAGGATGGCTGTATTAAAGCGAGAATACCAAAGTGGTTTCTACCTGACAGCGGGTTCGGAGTTGTTAGGAACTCACGAATCATCAACTTGAGATGAAGAAAGAAGTAAATAATCAGTCTTGAAGTGCCCGAGAGCTAGAAGGAGGAAGAAACCTCAAGCGCAGAACATGGTCGAATCGTCATCCTTCCTCCGGTCCCTCTCATGCTGCAACAGCCATTCTAGCACACGACTGGCGGCAGCCTCCTTAGCAGCCCCTCTTGTGAGAATGGAGTCCACATTTCCCAAACCCTCGGGGAGAAGATCGGAATCCTTCCCAAAGTCGACGCGTACGTCGTAAAAATTAGGCATATTATCACTCTAAAATCACTGTTAGCCCCTCAAAAGTCTAAGGTGAACGGCCAAAACAAAGGGGGAAAAGAAAAGGGAAAGAAAAACGTACTGGTGTAACCTCAAAATGTGGGTATCGAAGCTTCAATCGATCACAAGCCTTCAAAACTTGGTCAATCGCATCGGGCTCGTCGTCGAACTCGTAGTTCCTCTTTCGGTTACTTCTGCTGCTGCTTCTACTGGGGGATTTAGTATGTGGCTCGTCGGTAACATCGGTCGGGATCGGGGTCGGGGGCTTAGCGTCGGGTATACTGACGGCATCAGTCGACATGAGGACGTCGGCGTCGAGCTTGGCGCCGGCGTCTTCGGTCTCCGCTTCGATTTCGACTTCGGCGGCGGCGGGAGCGGTCGTCGGGACTTCGGCGGTAGTCTCGGGAGCCATGGGGGCAACTGGAGCAGCCGGGGCGGTTGTGGGAGCCGCTGTGGAAGTAGAAGGAGCGGGAGCAGGAGCGGCGGTCGCAGCGATCAACGCGATGGCATTAGCCGGGTGGAGGACCTCCTGATCCTGGAACTTCAAGGGCTTCGCATTGGGGGAAAGGGAATTTAGGGCGCTCTTGGAGGCGTACTGCTTGGCGTCCTACGAAGAAGGGAAGGAGATAAGTGTTACGTGTTGAGTGGCAGCGATTTTAGAGAGAGAGGGAGAGAGTCCTTACCTTCTTCGAGCTAAAGCACGGCACCTGACCGTCGATGAGCCCGGACTCCTTGCAAGGGAACCTCTTCCTCTTGTCGGGGAGGTCACAGAAGCAGCCCCATTTTGTCTGGATCTTGGGACCCAAGTCGTCGACGGTGAAGAAAACGAAGTCGGGCCTGGCCAAATTCTTGACGGTCGTAAAATCTGCCGAGTTTCCCTCATTAGCATCCCCTCCAAAAAGAAAAAAAAAAAAAAAGGAAAAAAAGAAAAAGAGGAATGAATCGGGGAGGGAGGTTATAAGAGTATCGATCTTCATCGTCTTCTCTCCCGCACCCACCGTAACTTACTAAGAAGCGTCGAGACCCAATCGGCCTTCTCATAATCGGGGTCAACAGCCCGTCCAACCTTGACGTGCGTGGCAATACCATCATCGCTGACGAGGATAGCCTTGGGCGTTCCTTGCTCCGAAGCCTCGTCGCGCGAAGTGCGGGCCGACAACTTGGCCTCGGAACGAAGCGGGGACTTGGACCGCCGGCGCTGAGAGGACGTGCGGCGCTGGGCCTCTTGAGCCACGAAGCGCTGCTGGCCCGCCGAGGGGTCCCGCTGGTCCGAAATAGTAGATTCTGCCTGAGGGGGCATGGGGCAGACGCCTGGGACGAGGATGTTGAGGGCGCGGCGCTCCATGAGGGTTAGAGGGGCGGGCTCGCCATTTTCTTTCTCGTAGACTTCCTTTTTGTGGATCCAGTGCTTGATAATGTTCCACGAAACGGTATTGAGCTTCATGATGATGGTGTTTTCGAGATTAAACGAGATGGAAAAGGATGAAAGAGGGGAGGTTTCGAGGGTGATGAGGGTTCGGTCGAGGAACAGATGAAGGGATGGGAGATGAAGAGGAGAAGAAAAGAGGAAAGGAAGTGGCCTCGAGGGGACTATATATATAGAGAGAGAAATAGGCAGGAGAGCTAGGGTCTGCGCCCCAGGTTGGGTGCTGGCCGCGTGAGAGAGGTAGAAGTTGGATTTCACGATGTGAGAGCGGGTGGAGAGGTGGAGTTACTACGGCCGCTGGGCCTCCCAGCGTGCAGCAGCAGGAATCAATGCCGTTGGCTTGTGAGTGACTATATGAAGTAGATAAAATAGGGTCGTATATTCTGGCCTGTGAAATGTGATTGATATTAATGATATATGTGTGTAGATGAATCTGGTATTTTCTTAGTATGAGAAATGAGATAATGAGATGGTCATAGAATTGAGGTTGAAGAAGACTTGGTGAGGCTGGCAGTGGAGGCGTGAAAGTGTAAAAGTGTGCAAGTGTAAGCTCCAAATCTGTCGATTTAACCTCACCTGGTGACGTGCACTGCCAGCTTCAACAGCTCCTCCTCCATTCCCAATAGAAATACTCTAAGGCTACATACATATACAATCTGGCTATGGCTTAGACTGCGTTCAATCAAAGTGATCTCAATGGGTAAGCAAAGGATGCCTGCAGCCGGCCTGGGTGGCACAATGGAACCACATGCAGAAGGCCAACCTTGGCCCTGTAGGAATCTCTAATTGGGTGTGGAAGAGGTCTGTCAATCTTCTTTGCGAAGGACTCTAAATATAGACCTTCTCGGGACGGGTTTGCAGCGTTTGAGGTTAGGTCCCGGTGGGATCAGACTTGATCCGTTCTAGAATTGGGCTCATTTGAAGGTGTACAGGCTGTCGCAAACCTGGTGTTGATGGAGATAGATCACCCGGGGGCTCGAGGTGCATGGGAATTACCGTTGATTTGATCGATGTATCAAATATCAAATATCAAATGTATTATAAGCCAGAACAGAAGCGCTATTTGTAAAAGCGACGCTCATAGTCTCGTCAATGCTAATATGTAACCTCCTTTCAGAAACTCGCTGCCATGCAATATCTCTCACTTCTCCGCCTGCAAGTCTATCCTCCCAAACGGTGTCCGTCGAAGAATAATACGATGTGGGCAAAGGCTAAAAAACAATAAGAATAAAAAAAAAGAAAGGGTTCCCCGCTGTACACACGTCCACAACACGGCTTGGCTACTCATCCGAGAACCAAACCTCCTCGTCCGTCTTCCTTAGCAATTGGCGTAGTAGGCCACCATTCAACGCGATGAACTGCCTGTGAAATTCCTATTGCTCAAAGAACCCATCGCTTCCGCTCTCCCCCTCACTCTCCTCTACCTCCATCTCGTCGTACTTGGATTTCTTCTTCTTCTTCGACGCCGTCTCCACCTTCTTCGACTTACTCGAAGATGTAAAAGACCTCGAGCTATCCAAGTCCGTCGTGCTCGCGATAGCTCCGCCGTCAGGATTACGGTCGCGAAGCTTCTCCAGCGCGCGATCGCCCTCCTCCAATGCCGTCTCTACCTCTTTCCACATGGGTGGTCTCTCGGCGTCTAGTGCTGCTTTGGCCGTAGGCGTGGTCTCGTCGGCCTTGGGTCCCTTTTTCGGGTAGATGCTGATGTAGGGTTCTAGGAAGGGGAAGTATTTCGTGTAGGCGAGGTCGACTTCGGCGACGTGTAGCTTTTTCTTAAGTTCTTCGGTGTCTTCGTCGTCTGATGAGGTTGCTTCGACTTTGCGCTTGAGCTGCTTGACTAGACGTTCGGCTTTTTGTCTCTCTGAATACATGCACCATGCGGTGGTTAGTCAATGGCTTTATGGATTGGGAAAATGGGACCAAAAAAAGATCCTCCTTGTCAACCCAACCAGAGAAGAAAGTTCAGAAAAAGGCACTTACCGAAGAACCGCACCATGTGGTACCGCTTGATCATCTCGCTCCTCTTTTTCCGATACGCTTTCTCCTCAATCGTCGCCTGGTGCGCCACGAGCTCCCGCTCCAGCTCAATCTTAATGTCCGCGGCTATATCATCATCCCTTTGGAGTCGGCGCTGTATTGTCCTCACACGCTTCTTGAGAGCATTTACTGAACCTTCCTTAGACTTGCTCTTAGGCTTGCCTCCGAAACGCTTCCGCTTAGTCGGCCTCGAGGAGGTAGTCCCGCTGTTGTCGAGGGCTTCGGGTTTCTCCATCTCAGAGAAGGACCGCTTAGAGGCCATTGGTGTTCGGTTGGATAGAGGGGATAAGCTCTATTCTTCTCAATAGTGACGTGCGTATTAGTGGCCAGGAGGGATTAGGGTCGCTGGAGTCGATTTCAAAGTACACCTCGAAGTTATCAAGATCCAAACCAATAGTTCATGAATTAATTGATGCATCGTCCAACTTTTTTTTTCTTTTTGGCGGGGCCGTTCTTTATCAGTAGGAGCTTATCGTGATCACGTGAATTCACAGCTCAACTGCTGGGGGGACTGAGCTTCAGCTTCAAGCATCGATCTACACACCTTCCAGCCAAAGTTGTTAGTGAATTAATCAACTTCGTCTGACGGAACCATTCTTCCAATATCTACGTCAATGAAACTCTAGCGACTGAGAGTGTGTGAAATCGAATTTCCAGCGCGACGCGAATGTTTCGAATTGGGAAGCGTGGTGGATCGTTGACTTCCACCTCTCTCTATGGCACCACCACTCTGAGGAGTCCGACCTCCAGCATGGTAGCGATTCTCATGTCCTAGCCGTCCCATTCATATTCCAATCGTCCTCATTGCTACTTAATCCGGGTTTCAAGAGCGGTCTCTCCAAATTTCCTGTCCTCTTCCTCGGGGCTCTCATCGATTATCGATTATCCCGATAAGAGGGGCATTGAGAAAGCCCCGCAGACCAGAGCTTGGTCCATCTCATAAAGCTCCCATCTCCCTGACGTCCGAGAAGCCCCTTTCTTGGCTCCAATGGATCGCCCTGAGCCCGGACTGGTCAAGTGGTCTCCGAACCCCGACCACGAGAGCTTCATCCACATAAACCTTCAGCATCGAGTCGTCCAGCTCTATAAGCCAACGGGCCACGCACGCCATGGTCGGTTCGACTATGAGCGACTCTCCAAGCACGATGACTTTCCAACACTCACAACCTTTGACTGGTCTCCTACCACTCCCGGTCTGCTGGCCGTGGGGACTGGCACGGGAATTGTCAATCTGCTAAGGATAGATGACAATTCTAATGCCTACATCGAGCTCGGTCTCAAGATGACCCGAACCTGTCAGGCCGTCGCCTTCAACACCCAAGGTCTTCTAGCTGTCGGGTTGGACCGAGTGCGCATGGATCAGTGTCTTCATATATGGGACGTTAATCGGCTATCATCACTTCCGCAGACTTTCTCCGGATTTCCCCAGGACTTTTCTCCCTTTGCTGAATCGGTGACGCGCTTGGAGCCGAGTGTTTCCGTATCGAGTATTAGGTTCTTTGAGGACAGTCCCCAAACTCTTGTCGTGGGTATTAAGGCCCAAGGTTTGCGCATACACGATCTTCGAGGTGAGTTTGTTATATGATAGTTGGCCTGGGAGCCCTGCTTACACGCTTTTTATCTAGACCCGACTAGCGTTGTAAACTTTCAAACAAGATGCAATAACAACCTCTGCATCGACTATGCCGACCAAAACTATTTCACGTCGTCGGCTCTAGATCACCCCGGTGTCATGATTTGGGACCGCCGCGCTACATCTCGCGCAGTCGCATCTCCATCCTACCTTCAGGCGATCGACGAAGATGAGATCCCCTGGGGCAGCGCCCTGCGGCTATCCCAAGTCATAGAGATGGAGGCTCAGCCGTCGTTAAGCGACAGCAAGCATTCGTTTATCCGATCGCTGCGATACTGCCGTGACCAACGAGGACTCCTTGCCGTGCTAACTCGTACCGGGCAGCTCAAGGTTCTCAACACCAAGAAGGAGCTGGCCACTCCTGACTCAGAATTTGGAAGTAGCCCCGAACTTTTGTCCCTTAACAAGTCTCATGAACTGGACGTGTTGAATTCCTCGTCCGCGAGGAAGAGCGACCGCATCGTTTCTTGTGACTGGATAACGGTTGGATCCCCTGTCCTGAGGCCTAGGTTGCTTGTTCTGCGGGCGAACGGTTCCTTTGACATCCTCGAGCAACCATCGTATACTTCCGACTACGTGTACAAGTTGACGCCTTGGCAAGCTCCTCACCGCGGCCTTCAAGGTTAGGCCAACCACTACCCCCCCTTTTTTTTTTTTTATTAACTCATTATTATGATTCTGATTCTGACTGTCCCGCACTTGTAGACGGAGGTCCATATATGGACTTGATGCACTTCGAACCGTCACAAGCTCCCGATATCCTCGGCCCTCTCTTAGTAGATCAAGCTCTGAGTGACGTTCCAATATTCGGGGATGATCGAGTAGACATTGCCTCTGTTGTCGAGGAATCCACCAACTACTCGCAACTCCCAGGCCTCGTTGAAGACTTGAACGCTCAAAAAGCCTCTCTCCCCGACTCATTGACAAAAGCATCTACTACTGCCGAGAAACTTCGCGCGCTGCGTGCCTATATCAAAGAGACCGCTCCTAAACCTGAGCCGAAGAAATCGACCGACCGCTTGGCTGATGCGACAGCCGACCTGTCGCTTTCGGTCACTGGCCCTCCTACTAACCGCGAACTGCACGATGAGCTTCTATCCACACTCATCGAGGCAAAGGGATTGCCTTCAGAGGCTCGAGCTGTGGTTGACCATGTCATGCTCCTCCGCGCGAAGGAGAAGTATCTGTTTAATACCACCATCAATAGAGCTGTCGTAGATGATGATCTGTGGGTTCGGTCCCTTTGGCTTTGGATATCTGGTACGTGTTCTTGCCCTGTAGCTCTTACATTGAATTTTTTTTCAGTGTACTAACTCGGAAGCCCTAGATGCGGAGGCGGCTGCTGAGGATGGAGGGATGGTGGCCAGTCCCCTAGACCTTAGTTATCTTGGCGTGGCCACCGTATGGATGAATGATCTTGGCCAGAAGCCCTCGCTAAGACTACTCGACGGCGCGAAACCCCCCGACGGCGGCGGTTGGGAGAATTGCATCGGTGCTGTCTGCCAGAGGCGACGCGTCCCCGAGTTCGAAGGTGTCAAGACAAAGAGGCCGTTCCATAGGCAGCTTTGCCTAGACATTTGCTCCTGGGGCATGTACGAGGACGATGAAAACGGCAACCTCATGGAGCCGGCGCCCGAGTACCCCACCACGGTACACACGATGGCGACGGCCAAGGCGCTGTTCAGGGGAAACACGCAGCAGGCCATCCGGATCCTGAAAAAGGCCAGCGGCACCCACCCGGAGCTCCTCTTCGTCTCCCTGGCCCTCCAACTCGTCGGGAAAGGCGGGGACCGCGAGCTCGCCAAGGAACACCTCGACTTCGACGAGGCCGTCGCGTCCAAGACGGACCCTTACCTGCGCGCCATATCGTCGCTCATCGCCACGGGCGACTGGGCCGCCATCGCCAACCAGAAATCTTTACCTCTGGCCGATAGAGCCTACGTGGCCGTGCGGAACCTGCCCGACGACGAGCTCACCGAATGGCTGGCGGAGCAGGTCGACACGGCCGTAGAGGGCGGCGACGTTGAGGCTATCGTGCTCACGGGCATCACGGAGCGCCTCGTCGACGTGTTTGCCAAGTTTATCGAGAAGTTTAATGATTTTCAGACGGCGACGTTGGTCATGTCCATCTGCGCTCCGCGCTATATCGACGACTATCGGTGTCTTGCGTGGCGGAATGCGTATCGCGCGTACCTCCAGCGGCATAAAGCCTTTTTGGAGCGTACGAAATTCGAGGTCGAGAGCACGAAGCGGAGCAAGCGCCACGGAAGACCAACCGTCAAGCCTCCCTCTCGCCAAATCGCCCTGCGCTGCGTATACTGCGACGCAGAAACAAGTCTAGCCCGCCTCGACGCCCCCCACCAACATCTCCAACTCCAACAACAATCCTCTACCACCTCCTCCACCGAGCAACAGCAGCAAGTCGTCCAACAACAGCTACGAAACCCCCTAATGGCCACAAGCGTAAACGCAGGCGTAAGCTGCCCCAACTGCGGCCGCCACCTGCCCCGGTGCGTCGTCTGCCTCGAGGTCGTAGGCGTGCCGCGCTCGGACCGGCCCGAGATGAACCCGGATAGCGAGGTGAGGCTGGCGGCGCGGTTTCCGACGTTCTGTTTGCGGTGCGAACATGTGCTGCATTTGGATCATGCGCGGATGTGGTTTGGGCGGCATGCGGAGTGTCCGGTGCCGGAGTGTCGGTGTAGATGTAATTTTAGGGCGAATCCGGAGTTGAATTATCGGTAGGAGAGCAGAATCTTGTAAATTTTAATGAGGAATATCTTTTTATACATTTTTTTTTTCTTCACTTCGTTTGTGGGAGTTTGGTCTTCAACGTGAGAATTTGTATCGGCAGCTAGATTTCAGCTTCAATGATATATATCCGACATGCTTCTAGAAAAACGACAGAAATATAATATCCATTCTATGTTCATATCCCCATCCATGCTCCAAGCAAAAAGTTCCATCATAACTCGCGTCCCAATCTACCAAAGACTATGTTGAAAAAGAAAACAGTCTAACGTATGTCAAAAACAAACCAGTGTATTGGAAGTTTACACAAAAAAAAACCCTCCCAACTTCTCCCATCCACCGTGTATAGGTATAGACAGTGCAATGCCCTCCCGTGTTTCTCCTTCAAAAAAAAAAAAAAAAAAAAAAAATCCAAGGGAGGTTTCTGTATGAACCCCGAAACCGATATGCCATGTTATGAGAACTCATGCCAAGGGGGGCTAAAGGAAAAAAGCCATGCCTCCCCCCCTTAAAAATGCTCAAATATTTCCAACGAAGAAAAAAAAAAAAAGAGAGAAAGAAAGAAAACTCCCTTCTACTCTAGGTAGAAAGCGAAAGTCCAGAACCAAGAGAACCAAAGGTTACTCCTCTCCCATCCCCATAAACCAGGGATGATTCAAAACCTGCTCAATCGTATACCGTTTCTCAACATCCCGATCCAGCATGCACCGCACGAGATCGATGCTCTCCTCGCTAATGGTAAACGGCACGCGCAGGTCGCGGTCCATGATCTCGTCGATGCTGTAGAAGGGGTTCTCCTTGTAGATGATGGTGTAGAGGAGGATGCCGAGGGCCCAGACGTCTTGGGGTTTGCCGCCGTATGGTTTTCCGGCGAGGACCTCGGGGGCGGCGTAGTCTGGACGAAGTTTTAGTATATAAAAAAAAAGAACAAGAAGAACAAGAGAGGGAGAGGGTATCTCACCTATCGTGCCGACAAAGACTTGAAACGGCCCGCTCTTAATATACGCAGCGCTCCCAAAATCAATCAACTTAATCCTCCCCTCTCCATCCAAAATAACATTCTCATCCTTGATATCCCTATGCACGACGTGCGCCTTCGTATGCAAATGATGCACCGCCCTCACGACCTGCACGAAGATGCTCCGACACTGCGCCTCGTCCATGTTGGCCCGCAGCTCGATGTAGTCGAAGAGGTCCATGCCGGGGAGGCCGTGGGGAACCATCTCGATGTAGTAGTTCGTGTCGTCCTCGAAGAACGCCTCCATCTCGACGATGTTGTCGTGCCGGAGTTCCGGGCGTCGGAGGTAGTCGAGGACGTGGATCTCGAGGGGTACCGTGCCGAGGCGGCGGTCACGCGTCCAGGTGTCGACGAGGATGCGGCGCTTTGTGACGTATTTGAGGACTACTTTTTGGCCTGTCGATTTATAGCGCGCGAGTTTGACTTGGCCGTAGGCGCCTTGGCCCATTTCCTCGAGGATGATGAAGTCATCGATGGTCTTTTTGCGTTGGTGCTCAACGGCTCTTGAGGCTGGGGTCTTCTCTGGTTTAGGCGTTGATGGCCGCGAGGTCCCTGTTAGCTTCGCCGCGGCGCTGCGCGCGACTTCCCTAAGCTGCCTCGTAATGTTGGATGCCGTCGTCCCCGCATACATGGGAGATGTTCCCGTCGTCGTCGCCGTGGGAGCAGCCGTTGTCGCAGCCAACGCAGTCATCGCCGGTGAGGTACTAAGTTCCTCGGCCCTTCTCGACTCCTGAGAGACGCCACCACTGCCGATTTCCTTCGGTATAGGCGCTGCGATTTGCCCCGGTGTCGGCTGGTGCAAGGGCGTCGATGTGCCAGATACCACGGGGCCCTTGGTCGAGTGCAGATGCCGCGAGTACGTGACCCACAGCGCATACACCAGTTCCGTCTCCGCAATGGCGCTCTCATCTTCTTCGTCGCCCTCCGATGATCCGTCACCACCTTCCCGGACAATCGCCGACCCGTTCCTACTGGGTTGTCGCTCGCTCTGCACGACTCTCATCTGCACATCGATCCGCAGCGATGCCCCGTCCCGATGCTTAGCGGGGACGCCTTCCGGCCGGAGGAACGCTGCCGCAGCATCGGTGCGGCCTTCGCGGATAGCCACGTAGGTCGACGCCTTGCGAAAGTTATGCTCGGGCACCACGATGCCGTCCACCATTTCGATACCGTCCTCCTCGGTCAACATCCCCAGGATCTTGTCAAAGTCCGGAATAAGCGCATTGATGGACTTTCCGTCGGGCCTCTCGTATCCGAACAGTGCGCCACAAAAAGCGGCGTTGGAGCTCTTGATGGCTAGATCCTCCGGCGACACGACGATGATGCCGGCGATGTGCGGGAAGCTCGACACGCGGAGCTGTCGCTGGCCGCGCACCTGCTCCACGGTGCAGGGGATGCTGACCGTCTCGGCGTGCGGGCAGGTAAAGTATCTCCTCTTGGCGGCCTGGGCAAAGTCGACTTCGCCGGTTCTCGGGTCGATTCCCTGACGTGGTATCCTCGGGATGAGCTTTCCGATGTCGGCGCCCGGCTCGATGGCGTCTGCGCCCCATATCGCCTCGGACGCTCCAGTCACTTCCTGGACGACGCCCTCCTCCTTGAGCGTTATGTGAGCCACGTCTTCGTGGATCTCCTCCAACACCCATATTAGCCCGACTCTCTTTTCCTTGACCCATAGGCTAGCTGACCCGGTCGACCCGTTCCGTTTCTGTATAGGTATCACGTCGCCGCAGATAAGGACTCCTCTCGACTGGCTGTTCCGGTGACGAGGACTTCCCTGCGCCCCGGAGGCGGGCGTCGGCATGCCGCTGTGGACCGTCCTAGAACGTCTGTTATTCAGAGATTTGCGGGGCTGCGATCTCGAGTTCGGCTTGCTCAGCAGCTGCGCCGTAATCCCCGTACGGCCACCAAGCAACGCTGAAGCCGCCGATGACGCAGGAGTAGACGCTGGCTGATCGCGAGTGGTACCACTGGCGGTGTTGTCATCTCCTGTGTTCTGCAGCAGCTTCTTCTCGAGCCACGATCGCCTCTCCTCCTGCACGACCTCGAGGATGCCCATCTTGCGCACTTCGCCCTTGGTGACGCCAAACACAAGACACGCCAAATCGTTGGCGGCGAGTATCGTCCATGGGGGCTGCGCTTCCGTCGTGAAGATGGCCTGGGTGGCGGGCACCCACCGAGACGAGTGGCCGTGAACCACGGAGCCTAGGGCGCTCGGGAAGCCGGCCGCGGATACGCTATGCGCAGCCAAGGGAGACAGGACGGGCTCTCCAGACCCCACTAGGAAGGGCTGCGCTAGGGTATCTATGAGCTTCTCCTGGAGGGAGACGGGGAGTGTATCGGTGAATGTTCGCTTGAGGAGGGCGGGCTTCGTGTCTAGCTCGGTTCTCGAAGGCGCGGCGCCGTCTTTGGTCGATTCGGCTCGTGATGTTTCTGGCGCAGGGGGTAATGTTGGCGGTTGGGATGTTTGGGATGGTTGTCTACTGCGCCCAGATTCGTCGCCATCGCCTTTTTCAAGCGCAAGTTCCTTCCTGGCTCCAGTATCGGGTTCGGGTAATTGCGCAAGATCGGTCGGTGAATGCAGTCGGGCATAGGATTCGGGCTCGGCAGTGAACTCCTTCTCAAACACGTTCTCCCCCGAAACACTCGGGGGCCCCGTTAAAGGGCCAGCCATTGGTGACAACCCTGGGTGAGGTAAGTTGCCGGCGCCGACAAGCTGGGCCTTGGCAAGAAGCTCGAGCATGCTCTGGGCCTCTACGTCACCGTCGGCTCTCGCCTGGGCGCTTGCTATCCCCGCGGTGGAGGTGGCGGAGGTCCAGTTCATGTGGTCCTTCATGTACTCGAGCGATCGTTTTATCACATTTTGGCGGTTGTGCAGGTATTCTTCGGAGAGGTGGGCGTAGGAGAAGGAATGGAGGGACTCCGAGGGGAACTTGGATAGGTCTTCGGTGAAGGTGGGCGACTGGGCGACCGGCGATCGTGGGGTAATTTGGCCGGCTTGGGGAGGGAGGCTTAATGATGTTGAGCGAGAGGGCCCCACAGAGGGGCTGCGCGATGACGCGTTCGAAGGGAGGCCGGGGAGTCGGATGGTGGGTTGTTGTCGGATGCGGCGGAGACCTGACAGGCCAAGGCCGTGGTCATGATCGGTCATGATGGGAGATCTGGACAGGCCACAGTCGGGCATTTTAGTAGGGGAGAACTGGAAAGGCGAGGCAGGGCAAGCGCAACCAAAATATGCACTACTGCATCAAAGAAAGGCATGCAAAGAGAGAGGGGAATAGAGGGTTGGTGGGGTTTAGAGACTAGTAACAACAATGAATGAAGCATGAAAATGGGATGGAGAAAAAGTGGACCAACCTTGTAAGAGCATCATAGTCGAGAGCTGTGTGGGCATCGAAAGAATATCTGTTCCTTGCCGGCTCCCTTCGCTCGGTAGGCACGGAGAGATTCCCGGCGCTTCGATTTCTAGGTAGGGAGGGTGGGAAGGAGGGTGAGAGGGAGAGCTGGAGCCCCCTGGAGTGAGCTCGGGCATTATTATCTGTTGAGTTTTTGGCGCCTATCATGGTAGCCTTGGTGTCAGCTCTGGGAAGATGGCAGCTCTGGGAGGGTAACAGTGGTAAGCTGAGAGCGTAATCCATCCAACTCCACAAAGGGAAAGGCGAGAAATGCGAAGTTCGGGGGGGCAGGAGGGGGAGGGGGAGGGCAGGTGAGCTGAGGACCGGGGGACTTAAGGACCGAATACTCAGGGGAGGATGGGGGGCTGACGGACCATTATTGCTGTCTTTTCCATGAGATTCGACCATACTTGGAGGCAGGGTTCGATGGTTGCCTGTGCTCCCGAAAGACTACGTGAACAGACGGGCGTGGTCGTCCGCTGCCTCGCAGATATCGGTGAGGGGCTTTTTGTTGCTTCTCTTGGACCAGGGGCAAGCAGCAGGCAAAGGAAGTTTGTTGGCAACGAGGTAAAACGATTGGACCCAGGATTGGGGGAATGGAGATGATCCGACCCTGCTTGTGGTGAAGGGACCGATCTTATTTGTCGGCCGACGGATTTAGAGTTGGGGAGATTAGGTTCGGGCTCGGCCAGGCTGGGTCGACCCTTTTGAACCTTGAACTCGGTGAAGTCGAATCCGATTGATGTTAAAGTGTAGAAATAGTAGAAAGGCTGCTGGTAATAGGCGGGGCGGACGAAGAAGGATCAATGCAAGGATGCAAAGATGCAAGGATGCAAGGAAGCGGCACGCAGTGTTGTAGTCTATACCCAGTACTTGTGTGGATATATATAAGTGTATCAATGATTCAAGACCTCAACGGTGGATGCACCAAGGTGTTATTGGAGAACTGGCAGGGCTGAAGTTCTGGAGCCTTGGGGTTGTCGGAAGCGTTTGCTGGTGGTTTCGGCTATTGAGGAATGATGTATTGATATTTGATCGGACCCCTCTTTGGATTTTGAAGCTTTGGGGGACTTTGGCGATGACGCCGGCTGAGTTTGGGGTTGGGGGCGGTGCAAAAGTAGAGAAAAGAAAAAAAATTGCACTGGATGGTGGGGAATTGGAGAATTCGATGCGGGCGTGATTTGAGGTTTTGGTGGATCCGTCGATTTAGACTTATGAGGAGGGGTCTTTCCAGTCTTGATCATTCGAAGCCTGAGGCCGGGGTCTAGACCAAGACTACTTACAAGTATCTTGATGTAATAGACGTGCTGATCGTTGGTATTCTCGATGCAACGCCAGCGCAGGGCTATTTCCGACCTCAAAAATGGGCAACGGTAAGGAATAGATGGACAAGGAAGTTTCCGTGCCGGCTCGAGGATCCAAGTGGCAGAGGTCGCGGAAGGAAGAATCAATGAGTACGAAATACTCAGGTAGGTATGAGACAGACAGACAACAGGTGAGTACAAGGGTGAGTTCGCAGCGAGTTCGAGTTTGAGTCAGAGCCAGGGTGCGTGTGAGCGCGAACGGCGGGTATCACAATTGCAGGATCCGGGACGCAGGGCCCAGGCTTGAGGCTTGAGGGCAACCAGTGAGGTCGAGGACATCAGCGTCGTGTCGAGGGAAGGAAGGAAACTGGGACTGTTGAAGTTTTGGTGTTTCTGGTTTCGGTTCCTGATTTCTGGCCTCTGGTACAATACCTTTGTACTGGCATGAGCATGAATGTTTTACACGAGTAGCGTGCGTCTGGTCATTGTCTGCATTCTGCATGTGGGCCGGGCTAGGCTGGGCTGGTTTAATTTTGATATTCTATCCGACTTGTTTAGACAGCAAATTATCAAATGTCTGATATGGTGCATCCGGGGGCTTCATCTCCATCTTCTACCGAGCTTGTGATTGTGGTTCTGCTCGTGCTTTGTGTGTGCGCCCGGAATTGGGAACGAAGTACATCCCACGAAGTACTGATCTCGACTACGTTTGTTCAAAGACAAAGGTGCGGCTCCGAACTCTGAGACTATGGGCGGGCTAGATTCACTTATAGAAATCTATCGATATCCACCGACATGGATCAATGGACTTGGAACACGAGCATGAGAATCGGCAAGTTTTGTGACAGAAGTCAATCCTTCGACGTGACACATGCTAGTGAATTGCGAATTGCCAGTTGAGCCTGATCAAAATATGAGAAAAAATCACGGGTATAATTATATTCCATCACCGACTATCAAACAAGTCGACGGCTGTATCCATCCATCTCAAGAACACCAGAGAGTGATATCGATGCCTCGATCCGAGATGAGCTCTATCAATACCTTTGCACCAAGACTCCAACAATCCTGGTCCGTGAGCAACAGAACACTGAACAAAAACCACGTCTTGCACGTGATAAGTGGTGCAAACCACACGACTTGGGAGGAGTGTACTGTACTTCGTAAATGGGAACCGCGTCCGTGCACGGTTCCAATGCTAAACGCACCTAGTTTAGATAATGCAATTTACCACAAATCTGCCTGCATTTACGCCCCGATAACGAAAAGTCTTAAGGACTTAAACGTTAATTGTGCCATCTCCCACCTCGTCAGATAGTTCCAACAGTGTTTACCCAGTTACAACCAACTTTCCACGCTCCTCCATAGCTCTACATACACTAGAAAAACTCACAAGCGAGTTGAGACGGCGCTAACTTCTTATCATCCCAGCGACCCGCCCAGCATTTCGGACCAAACTCAAGAGGTTCGGCCTAGGCCAGGCTTCTAAGATTAGCCATCTCCTCATCCGGACCTATGACATAGTGTACACATAGCGTACGAAGCAAGTAGCTTCCATCTTCCCGGGTCATCAACTTTTCACGCCTAAAGTACTTCGTAGCGTGGAGCTCGATGATGTCGATGATAGTGCTAGTCTAGTGCCGGAGTCGAGGGGGATTGCCGTAGTCGCTTCCAGTCACTTCAATTTGATTGCCAGGAAGACTGCAAACATGCGCCTATTCCTGTGTTCTCTACACTAGGCGTACAAACGGGAGCAGAGGTTAAGTACCGAGCTCTAGGATCTAGCCACCTAAGAGATGGTTCCGATGAGAAGCATAACCGCAGATGCCGCCAAGGGGCCGTCTCTCTCGTGGCGTCCAAAGGAGCCAATGCACGCCGCAACCAGCTTGACAATCCAGCTCTTTAAACGAACTCACCAAGGAGAAACGAGCAACATGCCACCCGTCAACGCCACGTTGAGTCCACACGTTCTACTCCGTAGTAGCCTGTTATTTATTACTCTGCAGACATGCAAGCCCATCACAGGCCCGATCCTTGTGGAAGCATGCACCAAATCTGTAGGCTGCCGTCCGAATCTATGACAACAGACAGACTTGCTCAGGGAAAAACCAGACCCAAGTGAAGTCCAAATGGAGCATCTGCACAGCAAGCCACCCACCCCGGATGGGGTAGCATCCGGATGGAGAAGGTAGTGGGGGGTGGGGAAGAGCAGCTTTCACATGCTCCCGACGATCTGTGTCGCCATGGGGAGAAGGGAAAGGAAGGAATCAAATAAACTATTAATGGATACATCAAATTGCAAACTTATGCGAGGCCAGATGATATCTCCCCCACCCCCAACTGGCCATCTTGTTCTCTATTTGACGAGGGTTGAGGAGATGAGGTCAGATGGACCCCTAAACCTTGGACGGGCTGAGTTTGTGCCTCGAAAACATGCCACGCGACCTTTTCCCTCTGCACGGAATTTACTTTGAAATTTGTGTCTCGCCGTCAAGCATTGTCGATTTCTGATTTGCCAAAATCCGTTGCCTATGTAGGCGATGGTCCTACTAATGTAGGTTCTGGTCAACGGTAAATCAGTTGATAATTCTACGTTGAGACAGCATAGATCTTGCTTAATTGCTAGATGTAGATTAGACAGAAATCGAGGTCTTGCTCTTTGAAAGAGGACGACTTTCTTCATCAAGACGGAGGCAGTTGCGGCGGCAATTTGCCTGGTGTGAGAGTTCAAACTTGGTGTTGTCTGTTGCTTTGGAATTTCTCTAGCAAAATCGTTCTGGTTTCCACTTAGATATATGCATATGGCCTCTAGTACTATCGATCGCGTCCATCACATCCACCCAAATGCCTTCAATCCATAATGTATGGCAGCATAAGTCACACCAGTAAGGATATGTCCGCCCATATTCGACTGTTCACCCAACTGCCTCTGCAACGCATCAATAGTCATCTGAGCATCCTGCTGAGCGATCCGTAGAGCCTGCAGCTCCGCCATCTCAGGGCCCCGCTGCGTCGTCTTCATCGCCCACGACAACGCCGAGCTCATGACCGCGGGGCCGCAGCTCTTCGTCGTCTTCCACGCCCACTCCTGCCACGTCGGCACCTTCTCCACCCTCTGCCGATCCTTGTCGAGGCGCGAGAGTCGCTCCCTCGCGCTCCGCAGATTCTCCTCAAGCTGCTCTTTCAGCGAGGGCATGTCCCTCAACTGCGCCCCGTTGCGAAGCTGGCCCTCCAAGAGCGCAATTTCCGCCTTGGCGCTGGCAATGTCGGCTAACACCTGCGCGTGGACTTGCTCGCCGGCCATGGTGCGGGGCAGCGGCTTCCCGTCAAATTCGCGCGCCATCTCGCGCTGGATCTGGATGAAAGTCGGTTGCGCCTCGAGCAGCGACTGCAGAATGCGACAGCACGACTCCGCGTCGTTAGCTGCTCGGAAAGTGCGCGCTCCGTTCTCA